CTCGTTCATAAAATATCTCATAACTGTTTAAGTGATGCAATAAAACTAATCTTTAAAAGTGGTATTTACTCAAATGTTTGCATAGAATATAAACTTTCGGGTTAACAGTGTAGAAGCTGTTAGCTGCTAGAGACAACATAGTGGACATATTTTGTCTCACATAATCCCAGAGTGAGTGACTCCAGTTATTTCCTGAATGGGGCTCCCAGACAAACTGCTGTGGCAATACAGTTTACAGCTTGATGGATTTAAATAGATTCAACGTCTTTGAATGACAACTAAAGACCTGGGACCGAGGGTGAATGCAGTTCTCATGAAAAGCCCCTTTTTATTTTATTAATAGTCCTTTCCAAGAACAACTGAAGCCTCCAGATACACTGTAATGTGTTGTTTGTCCATTTTTCAGTGCAGCCTGCAAAAGCATTGAGTGTATTGTAGCCAGTACAACCGGACATATTGCACTGTCCACACAGCCCCCCACTCAACGCATAATCAGAAAATCAGTGTCTTCAGTATTGAGACATGCACTTGTCATCCAATCTCTTGTGTGACCTCACACTTCTTCCCCATTTTTTTGTGATGCAGTTAATATAAACCCATTATGTACCCATAATTAACTTTGTAACTGAATCTTGTGAGGTAATTACTGCACAAACCACATCTGCTTTCCACCATACTCTGCCTTATCAGCAGCCTTTTTACTTGTCTTATTGAAAGTCTGACCAGTCAGGTTGCATACACACACACACACACATTTGCTGTATTTATCATTAAACACCGCAAGATTCCAAAGAAATCATTAAACATATGATGTATGATGCAGCGCTGACGAGGTTTATTCTCGTGAAAACGAGAGTGTTGGAAGTTCTGGTAGTTAAGGTAGCTAAGCTATCTATGTGCAAATAGGTAATGTTCTTTTTATTATATCTTTTTTATCTTTACTGTGGAACTAGAACATAAATTATCTTCAAAGAGTGCACGCAGTGAATAAACAAACTTGCTTTACTTTACCAGATATCTCACCAATATGAGTGCTGATTTAATTGTTATTGGCAGCTTTTATGAGTTGTTAATGTAAACTCAGTGCCATGCTAGTGCTCCGGGCTCTGTATGACTTCCAGGAAATCAATCTGATTCATTTGAAGTGGAAAATCATGTTGAGCGTGGGATACGTCTTATCATCAATGTTCTAGTGCTGCTGGGAAGACAAATAAATCAGACACCAGGAAACTGAACACACCTGGCTTTATGGACACACAAGATGTGTCTGTTGACACTGGGAAGTCATTGAAAGGAGGAGGAGGGTGAGTATTTTGTATCATTAAACTATATCTCAGTCTGTGAAGTGACAATAAAGCAGGAATTGAAGCATTTTTTTTTGGCAGAGGTGAAAGAAAAGTTAAGTCGTGAATTTTAAAAGTTGTTTTACTATATTCGTAAGAGTATACATTTTACAAAAGAACTGGTACTGGGAAACAAAGTTTGGGGAAGTTTAGGGAAAATAGTGTTAACAACTCTGATATTCAGCTTCTGATAAATTACATGTACAAATCACTGTTTCAAACACTCACTGTTTTCTAATCTAACACCGCTAAGTTTAGTGGTTTAGGCACAAATTGTATTTTTGGACCAGAAATAGAGCAGGTCAGGGTTCTCCTGTTGTCACTTTAGGAGCATAACCCACATATTTGAAATGTTTCCTATACCCTGCCAATACCTTACTCCCTACTGCTAACCTGCATATTTGTTGTAATATGTAATATAATAATTACTGTACAGGTTCTGCAGAATATCAGTGTTGACAGGAATGTGTTGACACCATTCCCCACAGAGTTTAGTTTTCCAGTAATGTACCATAATGTACCAAATAGTATATTTTTTTCTTCTTTCCTCTGAAATGCCCAATTTTTTACTCCCTTGTTCCCCACAGGCTTGTTTTCTTCCGCTCTAAAGTACAAGGTACACAAAGTTGCAACGTTTGATGTTCTTCTCAAATCCGGTGCTGTCTTGTGAGTGTCAGGTGTTCGATGACACTGTTTTGATGACATGTAATGTACAGTATGTTCCAGGTTTACAGTGATGCAAAAGTTCATGTTTTCCCCAAGTCCCCTAAAAACATCCGACTCTTAAGTCTGAATTCAAAAGTGGATAATGAGCTGATGCTGAATCACATATAAAACCTTCAGGTGAAGATGAACAAACCGTTAGCTGTTGTTATTATCACTTGATTATTTTATTTCAAAATAAAAAGCTGTTAATTATTTGCAGTTGTCCCAAGTAATATACAGCTGCATCAATGGAGGTGCAACACTTTCACTTTTCATTAAACATTTACTAATGTTTGGTAAAATGTTGCTACTTTCTGTGATAAACAGTTAATGTTATTTCTCCTCCCACAGCCTGTGGCGATCCTCACCCCACTTCCTCAAACACCCTGACGCTCTGAGAAATGTGTATAATGAGTGGACAAAAGCTGAAGCAAAGTTAATTATTGTGAAAGTTGGTGCAGAAGCTTCAGATTCTTCCAGGAATGTTTTTTTATTGAATGTTAAAAACGGATCAAGGACAAATAATAGAACAAAATGTGTGCGCGCATGCATGTGTGTGCGTGTGTGTGTGTGTGTGTGTGTTTGCATGTTGCTACAGTGAATCATCATTAAATAGTTGGCCCATTCCAGTAGAATATGCATCAGGGGCATTGTGTTTTATAAACATTTTGCACAGACAATCATTAGGATTCATCCTCTGAGGACCATCAGAGGCTCACCTAATGACTTTGGTGAGCCTCGGATTTTTCCTTTAGGGCCACCATGAGGTTAACATTTTTTATATTTAGGGGAATGTCGTAACAACTGGCAGATGGATTGCCAAGAAATTTGGTGCAGACATTTAAGTAATAAGTGCTTTAATTGCAGTTTATATAAATCTTTAGGACGGTCCTCTCTATAGCAGAGGAGAAAAATACACATGTTGCTTATTGCCAAGTGTTTGTTAGGTAAAGTGTCTACTTATATCTCATCATACCAGCAACTATAGCGTTACATCTACTAATCAGATTCTTTTGAATAAACTCAGGGTGCACGCAGAGCTTGGTGAAACTGCTTTGTCCTTTTATGCACCCTCGTTGTGGAATGAGCTGCAAAATACCATTACCTCAGAAGCACTCACGTCTTTGAATACCTTTAAAGGTCTTTTACAAACTTTCCCTGAGGGAAACATGTTGCTGTTTTATATAATCCTTCACTAGGTGAAGTGTTCGCTGGTATGGCCTGTATGCCTCTTTTATTTTACTATTTCCCTTGTGTTGCTTTTATGTTTTATGTGTTAACATGTGAAATTGTTTTATATGTGAAACTGGTTGCGCTGCCATCTTGACCAGGACTCCCTGGAAGATGAGATCTTGTATCTCAATGGGACCTTCCTGACTATGCATGCCAATGTTAACATTTAGCTTAAAGCACCACTGTACCTTACTAAAGCCTCACCAAGGTGTTAGCATAGCTGTAGACTGTATGCTTTTTTTGGGGGGTTTTAGGGGAACACACTGAACACATTTCTGCCTTGAAATCCTCAGGTGTATCCCAACAAACAAATTCACTTCAGATGCAGTATTGACAAAGTGATTACAGTAAAAGTATAGAGGATACTAGAATATAGTGCAGTATAGACACAGAATTTTAATTTAATTTAATCGTTTTAATTTTCTGAGTTCAAATGAAAGTCAAGAACACTTTCCAATGTGTTTCAGTCTCACAGAGAGGAGCGAGGAGCATTGAGGGGATCAGAAGGAAGAGGCGAAGGAGTGTGCCCTGTGTGGCTAATTAAAGCTGAGAGCTGTGCCCTTCTCCACCCCACAGCGTCTTCTCCTCCCTCTGCCTCTGTCTGTTTAAATAATGTATAAGCGATAGTTACTTCAGTAAACCAAAGCCAAGATATATACATGCAGCCACTCAGTATGTCATAACATATGATGCCCAGTGATTCTTTGTCATTCAATATCACCTGACCACTTGCTCTGTCCCCATAGCTATTTTTGAAGGTCATTTTAAGATGCCATCTCAAAAACACTGCATGGTTCTACAAGCTAAACTGGGACTGCTAGAGTAAACCAGTGATGACGATGGTTTTAGGACCACCACTGTCATTCTCCATATTTGTTCACATAGCATGATGCATGCTGAAGACAAAGTGGCCTTTTTTTGCACAGGTTTCTGTCTTAGCTACACCCATTTGATATTTTGGTGACTCTTACACTGGAGTGGGGAGAGAGGCGCAGTGGGGAGTGCATCAGTGTGTCAGTAGCAATTAAACCTGGTCAGAAGCATGTGGCAGAATGTGTGTTTTTGCTTTTACTAAATGATGCACATATAAAATAGATTAAAAGCAGTTTGTGGATAATCCATTGGACTGTTTAACTTGAATCTTTTATAAGTTGTTTACATCCATGAAAACATCCACATTTTTCTGGCTGAATGAATAAACTTTATTGGGGAACAGCTAAATTGAGAGATATGCCATATAAAAACTCTGGCGCTTACACATAATATAGTCTGTAGTGTGTGTGTGTGTGTGTGTGTGTGTGTGTGTCCTTTGTGTTGTATTTGGGGACCAAAAGTCATACTTTAAAGAACTGCACAGTAAATCGTGTCATGAAGGAAAAGCAAAAAGGACTGGATCTATCTGGAATATAAACAGGTCAGGATACAGATCCATGAACTTCTATTTCACATATTGTCTGTAATCTTTTACAAACTGTCCGTATTTTTGACATATATCACTGTATCTCAAACGTATCACCACCTTGGAAAGCATCGTATTTTTGTGAATTGATTCCGGTCATTGTTGCACTGACCTTTGAGGGTTAAGATGTTTAAAGGTGTTTAACAATTAGGAGGATCTATTTTCTTATGGATAAATGAGCTGACTTCTCAGTTGATTTATGAGCTCAGTAAACAGTTTCCTGATGAGTTTATGGTCTCAGTCTCTAGTTTCAGTCTTCTTCCATACAGCATGATG